CACCTGCAGATATTAGTCAGTTAATGTAAAATAATGTAAGTTGTTATCTAATTATACAGTCAATTAAGTGAACAGATTGTTATATACACTGATATTCTACTATTATTCTGTTTTATTGATAATGAAAACAGATTTTATTAGTATGTTTAAAGGTGTGTGAGAAAGATGAAGGACATATTTTCATATAATATTTTGCCTCTTTTTACTATATAGTAAATATTTATTGTACCTTATGATTGGTTTGCAATTGTTTTTTAATTAAACTAAAATAGATAAATATGCTAACACTAGTCTGAGCTTGAAATACCTATAAAAAAATGTATAATTTTTATTGAGAGCTTTTCTTGAGAATTAAAATAATGGATCTCACTTTTTTCCATTTTTCCATTGATCTATTGACTCCTCCACCAATGGAGTTTAAGTAACTCTCTCAACTCCTGCCATAGATGGTCTGCCCTTATCCTGCCTTGAGCCCCTTGTTGGGGTCTTGCTATATCTCCATGGCTATAAATAAAACTATATTAGAAAAATAAAGGGTCTATTGATTAATCCCTCCACGAGCGCGGACACGCCGGCATGTCAGTTAACATAAATTTCTTAGAATTTTAATTAATTTCTTAGAAATTTACCTAGAGGTTGTCAAGCATATCTTTGCTGGTGAATACAATAGTTTTTTTGTTTGTTTTCTATGCAAGTAGTAAACCTATTATATTTTATTTATTTTTTGTCTAAAGGCTTACTAACTATATTTACATAGTGACATGAGTTTAACACAATAATAGTTCTCTATTTCTATTTAATTAATTTTCATCTTTTTCTATTTAATTCTATTAATTAAACTAAAAGGCCACAGCTTTGTGTAGAAATATTTTAATTAAATTTTATGTTGGTTGAGGAATAAATTAAAAAAGATCTTCAGTTACAATCCCCTATATAATGCGACAAAACGCAAAATATGATAAATAATATACAACAAATAAATATATAATATAATATAATATATATATATATATTATATATATCATCAAATCAAAGTGCATTTTATCCTCCATAAATTGAAAAAAAAACATCGAAATCGGCCAAGAAACAAAAAATTTATGGCCCAATAAACAAAACTGGGCAAAAAAAAAGTGGATATTGATATATTGACAATATAGGTACCCCGGTGTTGTCTTCTAATAAATTAAAATTGGTAGTGACATTGAAGTTGTTCAACAATTTAATCTTATCTAAATATTTAAATACAATTTCTCTTTAAATAAACTTAAGGTGTTAGGGAAAATGTCTACATTACATTGTTGAAATATACAGTTATAGTTTAAAGCCTCAGTAAGAAGTAGCCCTCGTTATTTTCTAGTTTCTGAGTATGACTATAAGCTGAGATAACTAATAATTATATACGTACCTTTCCATGAATTCTAGTAAAGCTGAAAATTGTTCTGGGCTAGCTCGGCATCTGGACTCCATCCTCACTATAATAATTTATTTATATTTGGCACTGTGATATTAAACAAACACACACAGACTCAGTACCCCAGCTAGAAATGTGTCGAACTTAAGCTAACTAACCCATTTAAAGTAAAGCTCTTTCCCTCCGTTGCGCACTTCCATCCCCGTAACACTAAACAACTTACAAAGTCAAATACATAAATATTTCAATAGACCCTTTTTAAGACCAAAATACTATTTTTCTTAAAAGTGACGACTTACATTACGAGTCACTTCATTTGTCAAATAAAATATAAAATTAATTACTCTGAAGGAATGCTATACTTAAGCGGACGAATTTTAAATCACTTATCAAACCAACTTCATAGGTGCTGAACAAAAACATCCACTCTACATCGACCTCACGTAAGCTGCATTCTTGACGTAAAATGTAAATATCCTTACGTTAAAATAAGAATATTGAACACTCAAGTATTTCCATTATAATTCACTCACTTTTTTATCACAAAACAAAACATATTTTGATTTTTCAAACAAGACCGTGACTTTGACGTGTATAGGAACGCTCACAATAAGCTATTTTTCGATCCACATTGTAGAATGAACGATTGACACTGTAGACACTAGTTTTGTTGATATGGCTAGCATCAAATCGTTTTCTAAAATAGCTATCGACAATACGCTACCAATGATAGAAAGAGATTAGATAGGAAACGTTTGTAATATGGCTAAGCCCCCAGTTTAGATCGAAAAAAAAATGAAGAAAATAATAGATTATTTACTTGAAAAGTAACGTTTTACTGTGATAATTTGAACGTCGACGAAAGAAGTCAACAAAGCGAGGGGCCGCATTGACAAACCAGCAGCGCCAACGGCTCACTGCCGCGTCTATGTCCAGTAACCAATTGATGGGTGCTAGTCTGAGACCTGAGTGGAAGGAACTTGTCGTCGCAATCACCACGACCTTTTAATATATAATCGGCCTTACAAGGAGCATACCCTTCCATGGTCCACCCACCTTATGTATTGTGTTATATATGTGCCTCCAAATATCTCGGAAACGTAACACTTCAGGGCATCTTCCAGGGCAAATTTCTAATACCTACTCTCAACCGACTTAATTATTATTTTTTAAGTCTCAGATGCTTCAATCAACAAATATCGTTGATCGAAACTCAGATGAAATAATATAGTACTAGTACAGATGCCCCATTTCATACAAAGAAATTGGACAGCTTATATTATTATAAGATTTGTGGACAGCGCTAATTCGGGTTATTGTGTGTGTTATGTTGCTTTGCTAGATAATACATATCGTTAAATCGCAAACCGTCGAACTAATTTATTTTATAAATATGTGTAAACTAAAATATGATTAATATTGCAAAATTCTTGAATGTTATCAAACAAATTTTCTGTGACTTTAACATTTTTGACCATGAGAAGCCGATCATAAAAAAAATAAAAGTGCCATCTGTGAATATGCACTACAAACCCGTTACTTGATTGCTAATTTTTCAACTACATCAAATAATCCTTTTAAAAAAACATAATTTACCTTCTTGAGATTTCTTTTTGTATTCAGCCCTTTTTAACGTTCCTTTAATACGAGGGAATCAGGCCATAGTCCACCACGCTGGCCAAGTGCGGGTTGGCGGATTTCACATGTCTTTCGAAAAACTTGCTAGATTCTCACAGACATGCAGGTTTCCTCACGATGTTTTCCTTCACCGTAAGGCAAGTGGTAATCATGTTAGAAATGATTCGCACATGAAAATATCAGAGGGATTTGACGCCGCTTTACTCGGTTTTCCAGGCGAGTGGGTTACCACTGGGCTACTACTGCCTAATATAACATAATTTTATAAATTTATATATATTTTTATTTTTTGTTAATTTTATACAAACTTCAATAACAAATCCATACATAAAATGCTATCTATTAACATAATATAGGAAAACTAATTTTTCTTTGTTCCTGACGAGATGCTTAATCTATACATATAATAAAATTCTAACTAAGCCGAATCTGTACATTAAATATTTTTTGGAAAATCTTATTGAAATAGACATTATTATCGATACAGAGGCCGAATCTATAGTTTTTTGAATTTTTGTCTGTCTGTATGTCTGTCTGCCTGTTACCGCATCACGGAAAAACCACTGGAGGGATTTAGATGAAATTCGGTATGATGGTAGCTGGTTATCCGGATCAACATATAGGGTACTTTTTATCGCGGGAAAATATCTCATTTCTGAGAAAAAATACAAAAACTGCATTGTAAGATTATACTAATATGTAAAACCTAAGAATTTGGTTTTTGGTCATCCAAACGCGGGCGGAGCCGCGGGCAATGCTAGTTTAAATTATAAAAATTAAAAAAACCCGACTGCATAAAAGCTAACTAAAACACGAAAACAGGTTCACAAAGTAATATAGTATTATGCAGTCGGAGACACACACGTTTCATCCTTGCCGCGAGATGTACATAATTATGTTGTTTTTTTTTTGATATACATGCATAATGTAAATGAAAAAAGGGTGTTGCTCTCTAACATCATATGGCACCACATTAATATTATACCTAAATACGAGTGTTTGTGACTGTGGTTGAAAAAGTTAGTTTATTACTTCTTCGCGCCTCGTCGCGAATAAAAACCAATAGAAACAAGTAAATATTATAATGTTTATTATTCAGCTTTTTTAAGTTCTAGTACCTATAAGAAAGACCTTATTTATATGCTACCCTTTTTATTTTAATGTTAGAATATGCATTTACACATACCACCTATATACATATTGGGATTAATATGCTATACTGCTCCTACTGCTTTTATATGTTAAATGCTATATAGTTAAACTAGCTACTCACCCTCGCTTCGCTCGGGTACGTCCCAAGGTTGATTTGCCAAACAAATTTTCATCCCCATTTTCACCCCCTTAAGGGATGATTTCTGGGATAAAAAGTATCCTATGCCCTTTCCAGGGTTTCTAACTACCTTCTTACCAAATTTCATCTAAATCGGTTCAGTAGATCCAGAGATTACCCCCTAGAACGTCACAAACTCACAAACTTTAACTTTTTATATTATTAGTATAGATTATAGCTTAAGCCTTAAAAGCAGCAGAAGAAGGCTGGACCCTTCTTGTTTATATTCGTTTACTTATACTATATTATACTATTACCATACAATAAAAATATTATTTACAGTAAATGGATCAAATTATACATATAGGGGCAAATGTATGTTATAACATTATAGAAGGAAACTCTCAATGTGGCTTTAAGTAGGCTGTAGGCACTTTCTTGATAAATTTTGATAAATAATGAATCCAAAAGTGCCTGTTAAATTAATAATTATTAAAAAAACTAGCGGCTCACCCTCTTATAAATATATTCAATCTAATAAATATATTTCTTATTTCTTATCTTAAAACTATACACCACTTTCTGTGTATTTCACATTAAAAATGACAGAGCTCCATACAATCTTTAATCCCCTATATTACCCACATATAGGATGAATTTCGAAAAATACTTTCTTAACGAATGCCTACATCATGTAAGGAATCCGTCCCCCAAATTTCACATTTCGACGACCAGCGGTTTAGGCTGTGTTGATCCATCAGTCTAACTTCTAGGTACAATACATTGCACAGTTAAGATGCGAACACAATAGAAGCAAAAAACCAGTTATAAAAGACATATCACAATAAATTGCATAACCTCAGGCTGAATGTTAATAGGCGATACGTGTAACGCCCTCCTTTCGAGAAGTCTTCTCCTTTTATCATATTAAAAGTCATTTTATATTATCTATGAACAAATGACGTTGACATTTAAGTAATAGTATTTTATTTGTCATCCATGTAGTATACATAGATATGACATATGTATTTGTTGATTTATGATAATCTGTGCCACATTTTTTATCATATTTTAATCACAGATAATAATTACTAATTAAAACTTATCAATTTATCATTCATTTCACACACGGTCACTTATCAATGCGAATTTGTGAAAAACGTCGAACAAATTATTTTTACATTGAGTTATATTAAATTATCTACTTACCAGAAAACTTTATTACTTTTTTGATAAACGTAAACAATTTTCGTACTGCAAGTTTTACAAGCATTTTTATAGTTATCAGTAAGTTCGACATTTCACATTAGTGTAGAGGGGATTTTATTGGGCTTTGCAGTGCACTCTCGTTATTTTTTACGCCACTTTTAAACAATATTAACTAGTATAATGCTCTTAGGACGACTTGCACAGCTAGTACAGCCGCTATATCGAAGACCGTCTCACGTCTCGCAAACATTTAAACGCGCTATGGGGATCGACGGGAACAACATACTAGCCGAAAGTTTGAAAAAACAGGTAACTATGTCTTATTAACACCTTCACCTTCTCTTTTGTGTACGGGTGGGGAGAAATGGCTATTGTTAATAAATGTACAATATTTAAATTGAACTTTGGCCTTAATTAAAAATTATTGCGAACTTTAGACTTATTTTTTAGAAAAAAACTCACGACTAAAATCTAAACAAAAAATTGCAGTTCATGATATATTTATCAATTTTAACATGTCAATATAAATTTCTTATAAAAATTGCAGGGTGTTGAATATGCTTTTGGAATTGTTGGTATTCCTGTAATTGAAACATCTCTTGCATTTCAAGCAGCTGGAATTAAATATATAGGAATGAGAAATGAGCAGGCAGCTTGCTATGCTGCACAAGCTGTTGGCTTTTTAACAGGTGAATAAACTAAACTTTTTCTATTTAAAACTAAATACTACAATACAATCTTTTTAGGAAACTGTTAGCAACAGATGAAATTACATATTGAAACTGATTAAACAATAGTTTAATGATATCCATAATGTTACAATAATGATACAAATAATTTTATGTAATAAAACAACAATTATTAGATATTTGTTAATAACACATATTTAATTAGTATCTTGATGGATTATGTCATTACACATTTTATCTTAATTATAAAATGATGACGATTATTTAAATAAAAAATTGCATGATTATCTTAAGATAAAATATTTTTTTAATTACAACATATTATATATGTAATAAGTGTTTTAAGGCATAAGTTCTATGGGATGCGTTCACTGCGTTGTACTTTTGAAAAAAAGGGGAAGGTGAGGGTTCCTAGGTTCTAAAATTAAAAAAAAAATACCATAGTATTTATTATGATATGTTTTTGCTCTACTTAAAGGCTGAATTCTATCTCCTTCATCACCTCAACATACAAAATTTCCTATCTTGATCTCTATTGATTTCAACCCCTTATTTACTTTTGGTATTAATTTAACTTAAGTAGGTGAAACTAGTATGCAATTATTCAGTACTATGATCTCATAATATGGCTTAAATATACTTCATAAAAATATAAATAAAAATCAGATAATTTTAAAATAAATAAATAGATAATTTTAAAAAGTTACTAGTAAATATTTAAGATTCATTTATACTTAATAATTGGATGTAATTTATTTTAATATTATTATTATTACAATGTTACGTTTAAATTCGGTCTAATCAAATAGAAAATATTTTCAGGCAAGCCAGGTGTTTGTCTGGTTGTATCTGGACCAGGACTTTTGCATTGTATTGGAGGAATGGCTAATGCACAAGTTAATTGTTGGCCACTTTTGGTTATTGCCGGTTCTTGTCCAGAAGATCATGAGGGAATTGGAGGCTTCCAAGAGTGGCTCCAGGTATTTTAAGAAAATATCTTGAACATTGAATTAATAATAATAATAATAATCTTTATTCAAGTGACCAGTGACTCATTATGGTTAGTAAACAATAATTCTTAGAGACTAGGTTAGTTATATTATTACATATTTTTTTTTTAAGTTAATGTTACATACAATATACACAAATCACCGCTGCACCATTCCGTTTGCAACGGCACAGCAACAATTCATGTATATGCAATCCAATCTATTTGCTATCATGCTCAGAATTCTATTGGCACTACCCCGTACCCAAACAACACGCAACAAAAACAATCAACACGCGCTTCAGCGAACATCCCTGAGGCGCTGCAGTATCGAGGTAGCCCCAATAGCACCCTGAACGCGTTATTGTATTGAACGCGGAGAGCACTAAGCTTTTTGAGTATATCCTGCCCATAGGCTGCACGTGTAAAAAGATGTACAATATGAATAAAATTTTAGTATATAATGTTGCCACAAGAAACAGTTGAAGCATGTCAGAAAATAATAAAATAATGTAATGACGTCACTTAGTTATAATTATAATATATTTTACAATTAATGTTAAAAATAATATTATGCAGCAGCAAAAACGCGATTAACATTCATTTTTCACGCTTGATAGTAACAATACAAAGGACTGTTTTGTGACCTTTTTACCACTTTTCCATCCATATTAATTAATTGTTCGATCAATAATTAAAAAATTACGAAATGAAAGGTTTTAAAAGAAGTAATAGTTAGGTATACTTTGATCATCCAGTCTAAAATATGTAATTCGTTTTCAAATTCATCATATTATCTAATGAATCAGTATATTTTATCGTTTATATTTTGAATGTTCATTATACATAATAATGTCCTTAGTACCTAATATACCATAGTATTCTAATTGCGATAGCCGATAGTGTGTTTCTTGGTTTTTCTTCATCCACACAACAATGCAGCTAGCAACAAAGATGTGATATTTCTATAGGGAAAGCTTGTAAACTGGTGAGTTTTAACTCCGTAAATAAATTGGTTCCCGGGACAATAGCAGGGCCGGACTTAGAAGTCTTTTAAAAGGCTTTTAATAGTATTGCAATAAATTAAAAAAGTTTTACTGCCTTTCCCTTTTTTAAATTTTACTAATAAACGGAACCACGACAGATAGTTTTGTTTTTTTTTTCGATTGTTTTGGTGCGGTTCATGGCAGTAGTCCCGGTTTATTCTCCCCTAATTTCCAATATCCAGTAATCCAGTATTATAGTAAACTCTAAAAATGTCAAACAAACGTTAGGTAAGAGTGAAAATGAAGTAAGAACTTGTTCACCTTTTTTTATGTTGGGAAAGGCATTTCGAATACCACCTGCAGACATACAGGTGGTTATGGAGGACTCACCGGCTAGAAAAGCCAGTACTACCCACTAAAATCCAACAAAAGCTTTCCGTTTTAATGGGGCGTCGCAGGATCGCTTACGCACTCAACTACGAAGCCCCGACGGTAGGTCTGCCGAAGCAGACACAACAACCATGGGGTTGCTCCACAGTCCACTCTGCTATCAGAGAAGTACCAGGAGCAACCCGCATAGCACACTACCCACCGACATGGACCACCTCCCTTGGCAGGCCGCCGGACGATATTGAGCCCCCCCTACGACAAGGTGAACGCACGTTGGGGAGGAAGAACTTGTTCGCCTATTTTTAGCTTTGATAACCTTTGAAGTTCAATAAAAATTACTCTGATTACAATACGCCGACTGTACGTCAATATTTCTTTCTTTATTCTGTTTGGAGATAACACATAATCCGTGGTATACTCGGATACACAACGTTGCCTTGCAAAATTTGTTTAAACAAATGATAACAATACCTATTAAAAATGAAGCCCACATTACATTAACAATTTAAAAGCCTACATACGTATATTAAGATGGTATTGATCGTATTGTGTGAGATTAGATAATACACTATCTATAATACTCGTGATCGCAAGCAAAAAATAATAATCAGTAGATATTTTAATGGAGTTAATAACCTTACAATGTTTACCTAATACCTACATATTTATTTTACGAAGGAATATAAAATTTATATTGTTTCTCTGTCATACCTATAAAATTTGTCGTTGATTTTTTTTAAACAAAAATTTTTTTTTACAAAATAATATCCCCCACTTTCTTATATATACCTACGCAAGTTTTACATGTAGGTATTTCACTTCCCACTTTAAAATATTAGATTTTTTAATTTAAAAAGGAGAATCGAATTTAACGTTTAAATAATTGTAATTAAATTGGCTAGCTCATTTAATTAGTAATACGATAAGCAATTAAAATAAAATGAAATACAAAACAATTTGAAATTCAAATAAGTTAAAGCATTTTATTTCTCATTATTAGTTCTAATTATTCAAACTACTATAAATTTATTTATTTATTTACTTGCATTGCCCGCGGCTCCGCCCGCTTTCAAATGACCCAAAACCAAATTCTTAGGTTTTACATATTAGTATACTCTTACATTGCAGTTCTTGTATTTTTTCTCAGAAATAAGACATTTTCCCGCGGTAAAAATATCCTAAATCTTGACCCGGATAACCAGCTATCATCATACCTTTAATCAAAATCCCTCCAGTGGTTTTTCTTTGATGCGCTAACAGACAGACAGACAGAGTCAGACAGTACAGACGTCAGACAGACAGACAAAAATTGTAAAAACTATAGATTCGGCCTCTGTATCGATAATAATGTCTATTTCAATTAGATTTTCCAAAAAATGTTTAATGTACAGATTCGGCTTAGTTACAATTTTATTATACGTATGTATAGATTAGGATTACTAACAGAAATGACAACAGTAATACTAAGATAAATTACATAATAAATTAAACAGTATAATTATTGTATTGCTTTTTAGAGGTAATCACAACATGCATTTATTTAATTGTTTATTAAATAAAAGGATAATAAGAAAATTAGAAACTGAATTATATTACTGGATAAATTAATATAAATTATTAAAAAGAAATAGAAATATTTAACAATATTATAAATAGCATGATTATTATTCATAAAGCTAATTATAAAAAACAAAATAATTTCAATGTTATACTTATTAATTATTTCATTAGTTTTAAAGTAATTGACTAATTTTAATTTGAAGGTAGATAAGCTATCGCAAGTAATATCGAGGCCAGAAATCTTCAAGGACAGATCGTTATAAGTGCGTGCCAGTCCGGCTAAAGGGGAATACTTTCCCTAGTTGGATCTACATATACAAGGATACCTACCTTCATTAAATAAGGCGTGTGGTTTCTTAGGCAGTCTTAATGGCACAATAAAATTAAATATTAATTGTACTATTGCTGGACAATCAATACTGTTATTGAGCGATTGTATAAATTATGTAAATCTATCAATGTATTGAAATTCTAACTGAGCTGAATCTGTATTCTGTAATTTTTTTTGAAAAATCTTATTGAAATGGTCATTATTGTCGATACAGAGGCCAAATATATAGTTTTTAGAATTTTTGTCTGTTTGTCTTTGACCGCATCACGGTAAAACCACTGCACGGATTTTGGTCACTAGCGTTTTTGCACGCTTCTTCGCGAGTAGAGCCGCGGGCAATTCGTATAATGCGAGTAAAATTTAGTATTCAAAGTTGCCAGTGGATAGAAAAATGAAGGTTTAATTAATAGAATTAATTAATAAAATAACAATGGTTAAAGGTGCTATGAGGGCGCATTAGAGCCTAAATTATCTCAAATTTGAATGCAAGATGAGATCTTTCAATTTTTTTTAAACAAAAAACAGTACAAAATAAACAAAAAAACTGAAAAGAACGCACGGACAAAAAGTCTGTGGTGTTCGCATCCTCATTAAAAAAATTGCTACAGGTGGAATCGAGCCGTATGTACTGCAAGTACGCAGCACGGCCGCCTTCGCCCCACCTCATCCCACTGCACGTTGAGAAAGCAGTCCGATACGCGTCTGTTGGTCGACCTGGAGTTTCTTACCTGGACATGCCCGCTACATTACTTACGGTAAGGAGAAATATTGAAATCATTTATTTTTTGATAATTTTATTATGAAGTCGTAAATTTTATAGGAAAATGGAACCCTTGTAATGATGTCGCTCACGTGATTGTCCGTTACGAGATTTTTCCGTATCAGATATTAAGGGTTTGAGTTTGAGTGGACTGACGCGGAAGAAAGGGACTGATTTTAGTAGGTAGCTTTGAGAAATTTAAAATCAAAAACAAAGCTATGCTTAATTTAACATGGGACATAGTGAAGGGGCTCATACATATTTAAACTAAAAAAATTGATTGACTGATACAGATATTTTTTTTATCATATTAAAAAAAACATTATTTCAAAATAATTAAAAGAAAATAACATTTTAAGCAGTACCTCACTTAATTGTAAATTAAACTGATACTAATTATATCAAAAAAGTTGTACGTAACCTGTATTAGAATTTGATAATATATTTTATCGTGTAAAATACCTTTTTCAGGCCGAAACTGATGAAGAGAAAGTACCGTTAGATTATTATAAGGCGGATCCCGTGAGACTGGCGCACCCTGACCCGGCTCTGGTGGAAAAAGCCGCAGATTTATTATCAAAAGCTGAAAGGCCTCTCATCGTCGTGGGCAAAGGAGCTGCTTTTGGAAGAGCGGAAAATGCTGTGAGAAAACTCGTGGAAAACACCCAAATTCCATTTTTACCCACGCCTATGGGTAAGTGCTCATTGCGTGTTTTAAATCGTAAATCTTCATTAACGAAGTTTAACACGTTATTGGTGGCAATGTTTTGTTAGTAATTTTCTTCTTGGAAAAGAACTAAAAATTACCAGGCCAATTAACGTCCACTTCCTAGAAATGTGTATATTAATTTAATACTGCTTCTAAATAGTTTATATAAAAGTAGTAGTAGCATAGTAATATTTACACATAGTTTAAGAAAAGCTAGTACATATAATAGCGAATAAAGAACATAATAATTATATAATAATTACGTTCGTTATAACGTTTAATGCGAGACAGATCGTATATTAAACTTACAAAAGATTATTATTTGTCTACCGCCTCATAAAATAAAGTCATGTTAATCCGATGGTAGGCAGTGGTAGCCCAATAGGCAGTGGTAGCCCAATAGGCAGTGGTAGCCCAATGGTAACGCGCTTGGGAAACCGAGTGAAGCGGGTTCAAATCCCGGGTCTCGCACCTCTGATATTTTCATGTGCGAATCATTTCCAACATGTTTACCACTTGTCTTAACGGTGAAAGAAAACGTCGTGAGGAAACCTGCGTGTCTTAGAGAACTTAGCAAGTATTCGAAAGACATGTGAAGTCCGCTAACCCGCACTTGGCCAGCGTGATGGACTATGGCCTGATCCCCCTCGTATTAAAGGGAGGCCCGTGCCCAGCAGTGGGACGTTAAAAAGGGCTGAATACAATCCGATGGTTGCTTACTACATTGACTATGATGCTATGACAGTTACTTACCCTATTAAAAAACTCCAATAAGACCTCATCAAAAGCGACAAAAGCCACATAGAAACCAATAAAAATTTATTATATAAATATTTATTAGTTTCTATGTGGCTTTTAGATGAGATCCTATTGTAGATTTTTAAAATATGGTAGCTATGTAAGGCAGTTAAATGTTACTATTGACACTGAAAGGGTGTATACCGACCAATTTTCTTCGGGTCTTATACTTATCCATTTTAAGTGACATTGGCGAGGTGATCTGTGCTCAACTGGCACGCTTTCACAAGAAAATTGAAATAAGAGGTGGTATTTATTGCTTATTGCATAAAAACAATGATTTTGAGAAAAATATTAAAGCAGAATATATATTAGTTTAGTATTTAATTAATGTAATTTATTCATAATGGTAATTATAAAATGAGGGGTAAAAATACCTGATTATATTGTTGAATTCTATGTATAATATTATATTTATTAAGAAAATAAACAAATTTTAAATGAAACTATCTTTATGGATTTTGTCGTGGTTTTATTATATATTTTTGTTCCCGTGATTTAGAATGCTTTGCTATAATGATGGTCACGGTAGAGTTTCTCCCGACACAATGGGCAAAGATAATTTTATTTAAGATGTCAAATATTCGCGTAGATTTAAGAAAGTTTAATGTTAACTCTTTAAACGAATCTCAATGGACAATGATTTTTTTTCGTTATAAAGAGTTTTCGTTATATCTAGCGAAGAAAGAAAAATGACCAGATTTTATTATAATCACAATAATTTTAATATATGTATATATTACGTGTTTTAGTAGGTATTTAAGTTATTCTGAAATTGAAAAGATATAGTCTGTTAACCTTGCTAAGGTTTTTCGCTAGGCCTATATTTGTTTTGTGTTTTATGCATTCCTTGGGATGTGGTGTGATCATCAGAGCAGTTAGTGCTGGTTCAGGTTCGTCAGCTTCATCATCTTTATCTTGTTTCTCCCTACAATCTCAGGTGAAACGTGTACACGCGTTTTCTCAGACATAAGGCTAATCTAGATCGATTTATCGTCCCCGAAACCCCCTTATACGCTAAATTTCATGAAAATCATTGGAGCCGTTTCCAAGATTCAGATTATATATTGATATATAAATATATATACAAGAATCGTTCGTTTAAATATATTAGATAAGTTCACAAACTCTTATACTCACAAAATCTTATAGCGCTGTGGTAAGTGGTTTTTTAAAACTATTATCGTCAATTCGAATTCGCAGGCAAGGGCGTGGTGTCGGACGCGGCGGCGCAGTGCGTGGCGGCGGCGCGCACGCACGCGCTGCTGCGCGCCGACGTGCTGCTGCTGCTGGGCGCGCGCATGAACTGGATGCTGCACTTCGGGCAGGCGCCCAGGTACGCGCCAGGTGTTAAGATTATACAGGTAAACACAAGCTGGTAAACTAGCCTATATCACTCTACAGCCCTAAAATTATCTCCACAAAAAAATCACGCCAATCCCTTACTCTGTTTCGACGTGTTATATTACGGACAACTGCGAGTCGGACTCGCCTACCGAGGGTTCCGTACAAATTTGTTGGAAATCTGTTTAAATTTAATTTTCAACTTTTTTTATTTTTTAGAATTTTTCCTTTATTTGTGCTGTAAGCCTTGCTTTTTGCCAAATTTTGTGATTATAGGTCAACGGGAACTACCATATAGGTCTTCGACCCAAAACCTATAGGGTACTTCCGATTGATCTAGAATTGTCAATTTTGGTTAAAAGCAGTATAAAGGGAAAATTCTGAAAAATAAAAAAAGTTGAAAATTAAGGTAAACTTTGGTTCTTACAAGTTTTCGCGAAAATCTTAATTTGCCCATATCTTTTTATCGTGTTGACTCAGGACCTTGATTTTTATACACCTAATAGGGACTTTAGACCTCAATATCTGGTATAAATTTCAATTTGCTAGGTCCACCCGTTCCTGAGAAAATCGGTGGTGACACACGTACAGACAGACAGACAAGAGAGTGATCTTATAAAGATTCCTTTTTTTACCTTTTGAGGTACAGAATCCTAAAAAAAGGACAAACAAACGCACTTTTACATTTATAATATTAGTAAGGACAATGTCTTGAACGATTTCGGCCACGGGGCCGGTCTCATTGATAATAACTATCTGCGCTACAGATATTACAGTGCACAAGTGTAGGCGCAGACACAAATGCATTCTTTATTCCTTTCACTCTCATACTTCGGTGGGACAACAATTCGACCGATGAAAAATCAATCACAGGACCGACGGTTTTACGTGCTCTCCGAGGCACAGGAATGAAACACTGCCAACTTCCGAACTCCAGGCTGTTACTGAGTATTTCTTACCAGAAAGAGCCAATAATTAAAGTTCGCCCGACCCGGGGGTAAACCTAGGATCTCCAAATCTGCAACTATACATACTAGCCTATGTTTAAAGTTGCATCAAAATCCGTTCAGCCGTTTTGCGTCAGAAACATACATCCATACATCCTCACAACTAATGTGTTCCCTAAGTTCCTAACCGATTTCTACCAACCTCACTGAGACTTGCCATGACCCCAGAACCCCTACTTCCATTACTGGTTTATGTTAATTTTGAATTCGACGACAGATCCGATACGAAAATATATATAGTTAGTCGACAATCAGAAAAATTGGAAATGTCAAAATGACAGAGAATTTCATAATAATGTATGAAAATGTTGTAAATTTAAATCCATAACTTCTGTCTTTTTCATTACCTCAAAATATATATTGACAATTTTGAAATAAAAGAGAATATATTGGGACCCCCCATCACATCCCAACCAGGGGCAACACCTCATGTACTAAAATCCAGCTCATTAATTTATAACTATAACTATTTGTTACAAAATCTGTACTATTTTAGGTGGACATTTCTCCAGAAGAATTCCATAACAGTGTGAAGTCAGAGGTAGCAGTACATTCCGATATCAATCCGTTTGTTGAATCTCTCACGGAAAAGCTAAAGGAGAGAAAATTCTCTCTGCAAACTAACAGTGCTTGGTGGCAGGCATTGAAGGAAAAACAGAAGAAAAACACGGAATTTGTTGAGGTAGGTATTCGATGAAACAGGTCTTAACTAACAACAAGCGACTTAGCCTCGCTTCGTTCCTAGGTTTGTATTAATTTTTTTGAGCGGAACCCTAATTTCTTTTCGAAAGTAATAATAGCCTCAGTTACTCCTTATAGCTTCAACTATCTCCCAGTGAAAGTCCCGTCAAAATCAGTACATCCGTTTCGGAGATTAGTCGAAACAAACAGACAAAAGTTTTTAAACGTGTTCCTTTTTATAAGTACTGTGTATAATTTCATAGGCATTTAGTAAAAAGCTGTTATTTTGACATTACAAACATACACTTCAATTTTATTCATCTCTATAGATTTATATGTTACAGTGAGATATAAAAAACAATACTATTAGGCCCTGTAATAATTATTAGTTATTAACTATAACTATCCCCTCAACTGTCGCTGTCATTTTACAAGAATATGGCGCATCTATCAGCTACTTTCCGGGGGCTTGCGCGAAATATGTACGCACCATTAAAATAACAATATTTCTTAAAATTTTATATATAAGCTATATGTAAAGCTTATATCGTTAGAATCGTTTTAAAATAAACTAAGAATATCTTTATATATATAATTCTTCTGTGAGTGTGTATGTCACTGAACTTCTCTCAAACGACTGGACCGATTTTGATGAAATTTTTTGTGTGTGTTCAAGGAGATCTGGGAATGGTTTAGATTCACAATTTGAATAATAATTTTCATCAAAAAAATTATTAAAAAAAGTTTCAAATTTTCAAATTAAAGACGTGTAGACAGGACAACGTCTGTCGGGTCCGCTAGTATATAATATACTAGCATTGCCCGCGGCTCCGCCCGCGTTCAGATGACCAAAAACTAAATTCTTAGGTGTTACATATTAGTATACTCTTACATTGCAGTTTTTGTATTTTTCCTCAGAAATAAGATATTTTCCCGCGGTAAAAAGTATCCTAGGATCGCGCGCTACATCGCCCGGTTTATATAGCTTGAGCAGGCGGTCGAGCGATGCGGGGCAGAGGGGATGGACTCGCCGTAGGCATCTCAATGCTCGCCAAGCATTAAAAATGTTTCGCTACTAATTACTTCTAACAACGATATCTCAAAAACTATTCATCTGATTGATTTAGTGTAAAGAGCAATTTTAATCTGCATTAAATGACTAAGCTAACTAAAATATTCATTTGGATAAGGATTAATACCGAACTAAAGAAAATAACTTTGAAAATAACGTAATGTTTTTAATTAAAAATGTTAACATAAAAGTGGTTATTGTAAGTCAACCGTAAGAGATAGAGATATGCTATCGCGGACTTTTTTGTAGCATTTTTATAGATTTTGAATTCTCTAGTACATTACTTAACTGTATCTTTGCTAGTTTACGCGGCGTTCGCGTGGAAAGTTCCCATTTGGCGAGATTTTTTGCGACCTCTTCAACATTTGTCGCCGTATTTCAGCTAATTTACATAAAAGCATAATAAATTATATACCTAAACCTTCCTCAAGAATTACTCTTTCTATTGTTGAAAACCGTATAAAAATCCGTTCAGTAGTTTTCGAGTTTATCGCGTACAGACAGACAGGAGGACAGACAGGAGGACAGAAAGACGCGGCCGGGGGACTTATTTTTATAATAAGTATAGATAAATATAAGTTTCATTGTATGTAATAATATATAGTTAATACTAAGTGGAAATTACTGTAAGTGATTTTTTATCAGTATATAGTATGAAAATAGGAATTATTACAAAATAAAACTATTTAAAAAAAAAGTTATTATTTAATTTAATAATGGATACAATATTTTATATTAATTGATTAAAACAATACAACTCACTGTACATTTTTTTACACCACACAGCTTTACAATAACATGTCTCAATCATGGCGACTTAGCGCCGGATAAAATAGAGGTATTTTTTATACTTTAATTGTGAGAGCATTGAAGATCAAGAGATTTAGGATAATCATTTACATTATAGTTTAGTCCACGTACGTAATACTGGCATAGTTTGAGTTCTTATAACTATTTAGTTTACGAGAATTAAACAATAAACCTAACACTTAAAAATAAGTGCTAAAAAACGTCATCTCAAACTTTGGATCGCAGAGCAAATTCTGTTTAAATTTTCATTAAAATATATGAACACAATTTACAATTTAGTGATATTTAACGTTAGAAAAATATAATAAAAAGACATGTGCCTTATTAGAATATTTCGGAATTCAATTCATATTATAAATATAAACACCCACGGTTGGAGTACAAACATTCGCACTCATCATGAATGCCTCCAGCGAGACTCCAACCCGCGACCGCCGGCACAGGAAGTAGGGTCACTACAAATTGAGCTAAAAGTGCCGTCAAAAATCTGTAATGTAAACTGTTTACATATAAAATATGAATTATATTACAATAATTTTTCAGGCCCAAGCTAACGACAAATCGTTACCATTAAACTACTACGCGGTATTCAAAACAGTGCAAGCGAACATTCCAAAGGATTCGATCATAGTGAGCGAAGGCGCCAACACCATGGACATCGGGCGCGGCATGCTGCTGAACACCCGGCCGCGGCACCGCCTCGACGCGGGCACCTTCGGCACTATGGGCGTGAGTATCACTGAACAAACAGACTAGTACACCTTTTTTTGAAGTAAAACTTCTTTACGCACGCTCGGCTAGGGGGGTAAGCGGGTGAATGCGTTACAAAAAAATGTACGTACGTTTGTTGCCATGGTGACCATAGTTATTTATCTGTATAGATTATACGATCTGGCAGCCCCGGTATTATAACGCATGCGTGTGTCGGCAGGTGGGCCCCGGGTTCGCGGCGGCGGCGGCGCTGTGGTGCCGCGACCGCGCGCCCGGCAAGCGCGTCGTCTGCGTCGAGGGCGACTCCGCTTTTGGTTTCTCAGGTATTTATATTTTTGAAACACTCGAGTGTAGATATTAATACATACCGAGCGTCCTCCGGTTCATTCAATATGCCAATATCCCATAGGAACCCATGAGAACCGTGTTTATAACTTATGTTACTCTCCCAGCCATATTTATATCAAAAATTGATTGATCTGTTGCTGCAACAATAAATAAGCAATATATAATATATGTCTTTCGTATTACTCCTTCTGCGATTGTGGATTAAACAGAGTGTGATCGATACCCCATAAGAAGGGAGCTTATAACCTATGTTACTCTCCCATCAATATCTGTGCCAAAAGTTGATTTATATAACCCATACTTAATATTATAAATGTGAAAGTGTGGTTGTTTGTTTGTCCTTCTTTCACGTCGAAACAGAGAGACGGATTGAGGTGATTTTTTGTGTAGAATTTTACCGCGGGAGATCTAATTCCCACGGGAAAACACGATAAAATACAATCCAAAAAAAATTATGATCAGAATTACTTGAAATTTGGTATTAATGTTCTTTAATAAAATTAAATAAATACGTGTTTTAGAATTTTCCGAAATGGGGTAATAAAATAGGGGATGAAAGTTTGTATGAAACTGCCTTTTTAGATATTTTGTCTAGTTTTAGCGCGGGCGAAGCCGCGGGTATTGCTAGTAAATCCATATATAGCTTAAAACATTACAATATTTTTGTTTTTAGGTATGGAAGTAGAGACCATGTTTCGTTACAAGCTGCCAGTGATCATTGTTATAGTAAATAACAATGGCATATACAGTGGTTTTGACGAGCAAACTATGAAAGACATTCAAAGCAACGGTGACATTACTCAGTGGTGAGTCAAAATATTATTCATATTAAATTAGTTTATTGATATAAATTAATTGCATTGCTTTGCCCTTGCGTTGTTTCAAACAAATGTTAATTATTAAAAATTGCATAGGAACCTTGATGGGATAAAAAAGTTACTTATTTCTACTTACTATATATGCTTGCTATACTTGCTATATGCTTCACTTGTAACAAAATTAATCATTGTTAGTTAAAGTGTCATATGTAAAAAAATATTTTAGTATGTTGTAACTAAACTCTTGCAAATTTATATGACCATATATATAGCTGAATGTGTTTTGAGTTTAATTTTTTTTTATTTTCACTTCAAATCCACTAATAAATATAAATAAATATTGAACTAGAAATACAATATTATTATGCTATTGTTTTACTATAATTACTATAGGAAAAATTATAAAACTGCAACTTGAAAAAATCCATAAAGATAATTTTATTTAAAATGTCAAATGTTTCCATAAATATAAGAAAGTATTAACTGATGTAATATTTTCAGTACTCCTCCAACATCATTGTCAGTTGAAGTTAGATACGAGAAAATGATGGAAATGTTCGGTGAAAATGGATATTTCTGTCGCACTGTTGAAGAAATTGAAGCTGCCATCAAATCAGCCATAGCTGTTACAGATAAACCCAGTATCATTAATATCGCTATCAACCCTCAGGCTAGTAGGAAACCACAAACGTTTAACTGGCTCACAGAATCCAAATTATAAATAAAAGTTTATTTATATTTTGGTTGGTTGTTTATTTTAAAAAATTGATCATTCACAACAAATCTAAAGACATGTTAAAAATCCATTAGGCTAATAGGGAATATCCGTGTGATTTAAATAAAGGTGACTTTTTTTATAATTTTTGTTACTTATGAATTAAGCCTATATTAATAACATTTTTAATGGAATTTTGTTTTTTATTAAGAAACTAATTATTAAAAAGTGCAAATATGGGTGGGAAATTCAAAGTGTTTGAAACGCAACGCCCATTGGTCAGACCGAATACGATATCAGTCTATAATACAGAGTGTTGCTAATTTAGCGTTTAAAATAATTTCGTTTGGTGCAAAAGTCGTCATCAACTGACAACACTGGCTCTGTTATTATAGACTATGACGTCACGCCAAACGTGCCAAAATGGCGGGCATTTAAAGTATGATATTTTTAAAGATTTATTTATATTAAATTTGTTTTTTCGAGCTGAATTTTTTTTTGCAATTATATAAGTATATATATTATTGTATGTAAAATTAATAAAAATCACACATATTTCCTATTAACTAGAGTGGTCCAAAAGTAATAAACTTCTATACGCTCAGAAATTATTCCCCTTCAACTGTGGCAATCATTTTATATCTATTGCCTAATAGAATTTATATACGTATTCAGAGACTGTACAAATAAACCATTTTTATGCTATTTGAAAGAGCGAGCTGAAAACGAGGTTATTCTAATATGTATGGAATGTGAATTATCAAAGTAACTTTATAGGTTTTTGCAATTCTAAGTACCCGTTATTTTTTGTTGCACAAGTATTTATTACCGTCTTCTAATGTGTGCCCACGTACAACTGTGGTTTCGTGACAGTTTTCCAGTTCTAGTTTACTACTTATACTAAATTATACAAAATCAAACCTTTACTACACAACAAAACTTGTTGTAAAATAGAATTGATCAAATATAATAATTAAAATATTTTATCATTATTAGTAAAAAATATTTAAATTTAATTTATGTAATATTCTATTTATTTTTAAATGAACCAAAAAGTAATCAGTAGTAGTAATTAATATCAATGTCAACGTGTTTTTTTACATCAGCAAGCGTTTATAATTTTTATGCAATTTTATAGCCATTCTTGCAAAGTGTACTTGAACTTATTGTTGCATGCAACAAGCATGCGAGGATATCTATGTAAATACAATATATAAAATATATTCATATTTTATATCATATGGTAAGAGCATATTCATCTCTCAGTAATATCAAAAAGGCAATAAAAAGCTTTGCGACAAAAAGTTGAAGTAGGTAAACAATAATGCTTTACCAAAGTGAACTTCTGGAATACAGAATTGTTACTTTTATTTTTTGTTTAATAATAATAGGGGAACTAATAATGATCATCTTTTGAAGACTTTGAATAACAAGTTACATGTTAGAACTATGAAAACAAGACTTTATTATGTGCAATTAATTAAATGTAGGTTTTAAGATATAAAATTTAATTTATAAATGTTTTGAATAAAAAATACAAAATATAATAAAAATATGTTGTGGTGTCGAAGTTAATGGTTGTTGGTATTTTTGTAAAGGTTTTGGAGTAATATTCATATATTTTTTCTGTAAAGGATTGGTGAAAGAAGAAGATATAAGGTTTAATTTATATATTGTCTGTCTATTGAGTCACATCACATCACATGTTTGTATAAGTTGAACTTAAAATATATATTAAATACATTTTTATTATAAACTAAATCCCTGTATTTCATTTAACTGCTGTAAGCAAATGAATCCATTGTGTTGGTTGTCTAAGCAACTGAACATGAACGGGTTACATCCTTCACATCTTGCTGAGGCAGCCAATCAAAAAGTTTTCTATCACAGTTTGAGCTGGAAATTTAAATAAACCAATTAAATTATATTGTTATATAAAATATATGCAAAAAACAAATGTGTTAAAAGTTAAAACAATAAAACTTTTTAATGATTACTGCTCAGATGTTTGCAATATTTGATACAAAGCCTTTTTTCATTCAAGAACAAATGCACTTGATTATTTTTTATAAATAAGAAATAATTAATCCAATAAAATTCATCTTGAACTTTTAAGTATATTTGAATATGTATTTCTCATATCCAAAAAAAAACTAAATAAATTTCTTTGTATTGAGGAAATAGTTTTAAATAGGATTGAATACTACAAGTCACCATTAGATTGTGTTAAAGAAAGTTGTTCATCTCATAAGGGACTACATTTTTTTAAGCATTTGAATGTGAACATAATAATAAAAGAAGTAATAATTCCATAACAAGATAAATAATATTTCATATAATCTATAACCATACCCAGTTTACAGTTATTAGTTGTGGTCAGAGTGTAGGCATCTTGATCATAGTCATTGGTAAGGGTCAAGTCAGCCCCTCGGATAAGGAGTTCATTGCAAGTGTATGGGAAATCTGCTGCGGCGGCATACATTAGTGCTGTACTGCCAGACTGGATATAAAACAAAAACATTAATATAAAATGAAAATATTCATTAGTAAGTCTTTATAAGTTAAGAAATGTATTTTTAAATTTAAGGTAAAAATTAACTTGTTCATGAAATGGAATTATTTTACTAAACATAAAAATTGTTTTAAAACATACAGAATTCTAACACTGAATGCTAATAAATAATGTTTCTTATACATACATCATCCTGGATATCAGCATCTGCTCCTTCATTTAAAAGAAATTTCACAACCTCGTGGTGCCCTCCTGCAGCGGCAAGATGGAGTGCCGTTTCACCTTCAGGACCTCTCACATTAACATTGGCACCACTCCTAAAATGATCATTGATATGTTTATTTTTCTGTTACTATAGAAAATTATAAAGTGTAGTTTCTTTGTCTTATTTAATTTGAAATATAGATTAGTTTTTAGTATGTAGTACATACAGTATAATTTCACAGAAGTCTATCTAAGGGCAAACAAGAAGCAAACACCCACTCGACCTACTACTCAGAGAACAATGGAATGAAGTATTCATACCAAACAAGGTCCTGGCAGCTATTTAACTGTCCATAGCTTGCTGCCCAATGCAGCGCCGTGAGACCATGCTCGTCCGTGATATCAACATACTGCTCCAGTTTCACGTCCTCACGAGTTACTTCTCCGCGACCAGCCTTTGCGTGAAAGCTACAATCGGGCTGGGGCAATTCGGGGACTCGCGCCTGCGTATTACCTAAAAACGCGACCTTGAACTCTTCAAAAGTAATTCAAGTCCTAACAAAGGATAATCAATAGAAGAACTAAAAGTTTCTAAAAAATTAGCTAACAAAAACATCACCTCTTTGTAAATTTGTCAACGCTGTACATTGGGCCGATTTGTATGGCGTAAATGCACTTTTCCGGACTCCATTTAAATTAGGCGCCCATCGTTGATATCCACCACTGCCACTTTTACTGCTATCTTGACTGCCAGATTCAAAATCACACTTAAAGTTATCGACATTTTCTTCCTTTTCCTGCTTTATATCAATACTTTTCCCTTCGTTTTTAACGGATATACCTTCCTCCATTTTTGTTTCCGTCAATAACAAAAGCAAATGGGAACTGGGAAGGTGGGAAGTGACAATTCAATACTTGACATTAGCTGTTTCATTATAAGCCGGATCTACACACTTCACACAAACAGCTTCGCAAGAGCTTTAACAAACTTGATCGCAAATTCAAATATGCGAAAAGGGCGTTTGGCTAGGCTTGTGTAAGTTTGCAAAGACTTGCAGCCGTTCCGATCCATGTCGATGTCGGTTTTTCTGCACAAATCAAAGGAAATTTGCGACAAGTTGCTTGTAATGCATCCATGGACACGTTTTTGCGTGTGTAGTTTTGAAGTTTGGAACAAATTGCAAGCGTGTGGATCCAGTATTAAAAATCCAAAAAATCTATACATATAATAAAATTGTAACCATGCCGAATCTGTACATTATATATTTTTTGAAAAATCTCATTGAAATAGACATTATTATCGATGCAGAGGCCGAATCTATAGTTTTTAGAATTTTGATGAAATTTGGTATGATGATAGCTGGTTATCCGTTTCAACATATAGGATTTAGGACTTTTTACTGTGGGAAAATATATCATTTCTGAGAAAAAATACAAAAATTGCAATGTAAGAGTACACTAATATATGTGTTTATGGTCACCTGAAAGCGGGCGGTGCAGGTGGCAGTGGCAGGATGCAAAGAAAATGGATAACATTTGTTCCCGAAAGACTAAAACTGAAGAAATTGTGGGCTAAAGCAATAACACGACCAAAATTGGCGAAATCACTATCTTTATATTTAAGGCTATGTGGGTTTTTTATTTTTTGTACTTTTTACATATTAATTATGTTATGTATAATTAATTATTATACAAACTTTCATCATTTTTCAAAATGTGGGAACATTTTCCTACTTACCTTATGGAATTTAATTTCGCAAAATTCTAAAACACGTATTTATTGAAATATATTAATTGTATTTAAGAGCATTAATACCAAGTTTCAAGTAATTCTGATCATAAATAATTATTTGCCCATATAAACTTTATTTCCCCTTTTGGCTCTTTAAGAGATGAATTACGAAATAAATTAATGTTTCTTATTTTTTATCTTAAAGTTAAACATAATTTTTTGTGTATTTCACATTAAAAACGACAGAGTTTCATGCAATCTTTAATTTCTTATTTTAACCACTTAGGGGATTAATTTCAAAAAATTCTTTCATATCGAATGGCTTCATCGTATAATCAATACGTCCTCCAAATTTCACGTACGACCAGTAGTATAGGCTGCGTGTTGATGCATTAGCGAGGACTGAGGACCACCGCAGGATACACCTCTCCTTCTCAATTTTTCCTTCAGCTGGTCTAATTTCCAGGTACAATACATAACACAGGTAAGATGTGAACACAATAGAAGCAAAAAATCAGGTATACAAGAGTTATCATAATAAATTGCTTAACCTCAGACTGAATGTAAATAGGTAATACGTGTAGCGCCCTCCTTTCAAGAAACCTGAACCCCATTATTAAAGGACAATTTATATAGTTAACTGACAGTTTGGTTTTAATTTATAGAGTCATTGGTCCTTTAATAAAAATCCATGAAGATGATCGTCTAAATCGCTCGCGGTTCAGAGAAAAATGTTGTCTTTCGTAATCCATGACACATAAGCAGTGAATACAAATTACATAATAATTGCTTTGACTGTGGTCATGACCATAGAGTATATTGCTACATATATAAAACTGTGGTCATGACGAAGGCTGGCAATATATTTGTTTTTCTATGTTACTTTCGTTGATAAAGATAATTAATAATTTGATTTTTGAAATTTGAACTTTGTTTTGTAACTAACGGCCAACGTAACTTTAAGTTTAATTTTAGAGCTCAAATTGTAATAATTGATTAGATAGTCAATAATTGCTAGGATAAACATTATAATAAAGTATGTCAACTTCAGAAAACATTCAACAGTTACATCAAGATTTACAAAACGAACTAACAACAGCGAATCAGTTATTGAGATTAATGTAAATACTTTTAAAATAATCCATACTTTACGTACCAATTAATAATTTATTTAATAATATCGTTTGTTCCAGATCAATAGAGGTAAACAAAATTAAAAAAATCACTGTTCCAGAGGGAATACTTGATACAAATATAAAACAAGTGTGTGTCCATTGTTTTTGTCTTTAATCTAGGATAAATAAATATAATAATATTTACTTTAAAACATTTTAATACATTTTCAGAATGCAAAGTTGGTTAAAAGTATTGCAGATATGCAGCAAATAGACATTTCAAATCTACCACCAGTAGCAAGGACACAGTTGGACATGGTTAATCAATCAAACCAAAATTTATCATATGAGCAGCATGACAGTTTTAGAAATAGTATGGATGATTCTCAATAATTGCTTCTGATGATTTTTATATTACATATAAGTTGATATTTTGACACCTTGTATATATTTTTTTAATGTTAATTACCTGTCAGTTCCTAGTATTTCTCTCTAGTTTAATTTTTTGCGATATTCTTCAGAAGATTCCATACCATACAAGGATAATTATTATACAAGAAATCAAGCTAGTTATTAAGGAATGGTAATCTATATGATTATCACTAGCGACTCACCCTCGCTTCACTCCCTAGCTTGCTTCCCAATACAAACTTGTCCCTATTTTTACCCCCTTAAGGGATGGTACAGGGATAAAAAGTATCCTATGCCCTTCCCAGGGTCTCTGGGATGAAATTTGTTACGAAGATTGTTATCTTACCAAATTTATTTAAATCTGTTCAGTAGATCCAGAGATGACCACCTACAACCTCACAAACTTTACCTCTATAATATTAGTATAGATTAAAAAAATCACTAACTTTTATATAATAAAATAAACAGATGCGGGAAAAGACTATGTTAGTAGTACTTTATTGAGTAAAATGTAATTAGATGAACAGTAGTAGTATTTCTAAATAACTGAGGTTAACTATTAATTTCCAATCTTTAATTTTTTTCGATTTTTTTATGAAAAAGAAACAAGAAGTCATTCATGTTTTTTTTTATTTTATATTAAAATTACATCACATTTAATAAAATTTATTTTTTAACATTTTACAATTAGCATAGCCTGACAGGAGCAAGGCAACACTACATAGTCTCCATAGAAAATATATTGCCTCTAGAAAATGACCCCAATTAATATCATTTTTATGTCTTATGTGCCAATGGCAATGTGCCAAATCATGGCTATGCCAATGTAAGTTACATTTGCAATTAACAATTTACCTGATAAATCCTATCCTATAATCCATTCCACTATTAGGCACATATTCATTGCAACATAGCAATTCATTCCCTTCCAACAAGACAAACTATTATCTTAAATCTACATATGAATAATTATATAATAAACTACAAATGGTACATAATATAAATATTTGTGTATAGTAAATTCCAAAAAAAGGACATTATAATCTAGAAGTGCGCAATAAACAATGCAAAAAAAAGATCTATAAAACATGTACACAATCCTCATTAATTAATTCAGAAAATGATCACATTCACTTAAAAATAATACAAAATAAAATATTTTCTTAATAGACTATTTTTAAAGAAGTAAAACGTGCAACTTAATAATTAATATTTGTTTAGTATATATTATAACAATGGATTATAACTAAAGCCATGGTAACAGCTTATAGACTAGATAGACAACAAACTTCATACTAAGCTTAATTAGTGTTGAAATACAGCAGTTTTCTCTTTGAACCTTTGCTTTCTTAAAGCCTTCTCTTCTGCCTCGCGACGCTTTTCCTCCTGTTCTTGAATAATCTCATCGTGGAATTTATTTGTTTTTGCTAGTTCTTCGATTTTTGCTTCGAAGAAATTCTTAGCCCCATTAACTCCTACTTGATCAACATTTATTTCTGTCAATCTTGCAAAAGCTTCTAATCCTGAGTCAGATTCGAGTTCACCCGCTCTAGCTTTCCTGTAAATAATTTACCTCATCAATAAAAACACTACATCTATACATATAATAATGTTGTAACTAAGCCGATTCTGTTCATTAAAATATTTTTTGGAAAATCTCATTGAAGTGGTCATTATTATGGATGCAGAGGCCGAATTAGCTAGCGTTTTGTCTGTCTGTCTAAACGCATCACGAGAAAACCACTGCACAGATTTTGATGAAATTTAGTATAATGATAGCTAGTTATCCGGGTCAACATAAAGGATACTTTTTATTTTTTTTTTATTTAACCTCGCTCCGCTCGGGGTGCGTCTCTAGTATTCGATACTCGTATATTTGCTAAGACGCTTCTTGATTTTCCGATTTTAACTAGAATAAGACTCTATACTACCATTTTAACTAAAATGTTGACTTGTGTGTTTGTGTTGTATTATGTACACATTGATTAAAGAACATACATAACGATAAGTAATATACGCAAGTTATTCGTTAATAATATTGTTTAATTTGGCTTTTCGTTACCCATTTGTTATGAAGAAGTATAAACGTTATGATATAAAAATCTATATGAAAATGACATTAAACTAACACTGTAAACTGCTGGACCGTTTTTTTATAATGTTCGAAGTCCGATAGGAAATAAGAATTTTAGGAAAAGAAATTGGGAAAAATTTAAGTGCTTTTTTCGCGTCAAGATTTACAAAAGTCATAAATTACAAAGGAAATTGGAACAGGGCAAATATGGCAGTCTATTCAGCTAGATTTAAATATAAATGTCATATAGGCACATAAAAGTTATAAAGCCTGTTACACCTTTACTTTATTCAGTAACTTTTCTATTAGGCTCGTTTCTAGTTGGGAGAAAAGGTAGTAGACATGTCGCTTTAAGGCTTTTCCGTGGCTGTTGATTTCTATGTTACGTAGGTCTTAGCTGTTTGAGCTTTCCGATACTTAATTATAATACTTGATTCGAATTTTCTATCTTATAGCAGTATTACGTTATACGTATAGATGAAATGGTATGATGTTCAGCAGTATCCACCGCCGTATTAATGACACCAACATCAAGATTCTCGATCTCGATTTTATCGTTCTTTTTTTAATTAATAAATTTGAAATACATAAAGGGAGGTCTTTCAAGAAAAATAAATCAGATTTTTTTTACTCGTTTAGTAAGTAATTATGTTTCTATAAAGGTATGTCCCTACTTTATGCGATCGTCGCGTCATTATATTGTCAACCGACTTCAAAAAGGAGGAGGTTCTCAATTCGACTGTATGTTTTTTTTTATGTTTGTTACCTCAGAACTCCGTCATTTATTAACCGATTTGGACAATTTTTGTTTTGTTTGAAAGGGTATACTTCCAGATTGGTCCCATTTAAATTTCAAAAAAAAATACCACCCCTAAGGGTGGAAAAACAACTAATGATGAATTTAACCTACTTCTAATTGTCATATTGACTTGAAACTTTGCAAGTATTTCTATTTCCGTTGATAGTACAGTGGTTCGATGTTGTTGACCTGATCTGATGGCAAGGCCAGAAGGTGGATAGGTAGAACTCTTCAACGGCTAATAGTAGATACTTTGAGTTTGGGCTTATTTTGTTTGATTTGACAAGCCTAACACGTTAGAATCCTTACTTTGCTACTACTGTCTACACTAAAAAGGGAAAAATAAAAACTTTTTAACAAAAAAAAACCGACTTCAAACAAAAGCACTAAAAAGTAACAAATAACTGATTGGTAGTTTTCATTTACTATACATACCTAATCAAATATTTTCGAAGTCGGTGTGCTTTGGCTAAGTAATTAAAGCCTACCTATTAAATACATACCTAATCAAATATTTTCGAAATCGGTGCCAGCCCATACAAAGCTAAGCACACCGACTTCGAAAATATTTGATTAGGTATGTATAGTAAATGAAAACTACCAATCAGTTATTTGTTACTTTTTAGTGCTTTTGTTTGAAGTCGGTTTTTATTTTTTTGTTAAAAAGTTTTTTTTTACTAATTGATCCATCTCAGACATGAGGTAGCAGAATCGGATCTTACGCAGATTAATATAAATACATTTTTGTAATGAATATAATAACCTACATAATCTCTTAGCCAAGGCAACACATACCTAACATTTAAAAAATAATTACAATAATTATTTAACTTCAATTAAATACCTATAAATAAGTAAAAATTCTCTGAAACTGATTTTGTTATCGCCATCTTCATCAACTTCAGATATCATCGCTTTAAGACCGAGATGTGTTTGTGGCGCGCCCAGACGCTCCATCATACGTTTAACCTCCGTGAGGTCTAGAAACCCGTCTTGACCTTCATCGAATCTGAAACAAACATGAATAATTATTTCTTAAATCACTGCCGAATTTGAATTTCCGTTTCCTTTTTACCTTGTAAGTACAAACAAGTAACAAGTATAACTTCATACGCATTCGTTAATTAAATATGCATAGATACATACAAACAAGGTTATAAAGGAACAACAATAACAGTTTATAATAAGTTATCTTGAAATAAAATATAACTTATTGCTTGATAATACGTTTTCTTTGAGTAAGTATTTTATATAATTACTAGTTATGCCCGCGGCTCCGCCCGCGTTAGATGACAAAAAACCAAATTTTTGTGTTTACATATTAGTATACTATTACACTACAGTTTTTGTATTTTTTCTCAGGAATGAGACATTTTTCCGCAGTAAAAAGTATCCTATATGTAGACCCGGATAACCAGCTAGCACCATACCAAATTTCATCAAAATCCCTCCAGTGGTTTCTCTGTGATGCGGTAACAGACGGACAGACAGACAAAAAATCTAAAAACTATAAATTCGGCCTCTGTATCGATAATAATGTTTATTTCAATAAGAATTTCCAAAAAATATTTAATGTAAAGTTTGGCTTAGTTACAATTTTATTATATGTATAGAACATGAACGAATTAACCACTGGACCAGACATATAAGCGGACGTACCTTTATCGGTCTTCTCAGTAACCAGGAGATTTTAGGCTTGGTCGTTTGTTTTTTGCGTCAGTCTCAAGCACTTATTTGTCAACAAAACATCTCCCAAAAATGACTAAATGTTCTGTTAAATGATGTAAAAACTATAACGGCGGAAGCAGCAGTATTTTTTTTCAATTGTAAATACATTATTTTATTACATTTATTGTTATTTATCACACAATTTTTCAGAACAAATGACAAAACTGTCGAGTGAGTCCATTTGACATCGACTAGTGCTTGACAATGTCGAAAAATATATCGATATTTGACGAAATAACTAAACGAATTGTATTATTTGTACAGTACAATAACATAAAATACTTTTACCACAGTATTCTACAATCTGATGACAATAAATTTATAAAAATATTTTCTAAATCAAATATAAATGCAAAATTTTATTTTATTCCACATTTATATACTTTGGAATATTATTAAGGTATAGAAGTATCAAATCTGTTCCTACATTATTCATTCCCATGTTTATTCAACAAAACTATGAATGAATAATTAATTCATAATAGTAAAAAGAATCTCGAACATACAGATCGTATTACGCGATATTCCAAAGTACAATTACCTATAGGCATAATTATTGTAGGTAAAAACTAAAAAGTATTTAAAATACTCGCAGCAACATACAGTCCAGGTTTCCTTTTGGAAACAATACCGTTATTGCTACTGTAAATATATTTGATGAGAAAGCATACGCATGTATAGAATATTAACAAATGGAAGACAAAATAAAATGTTAAAGTGATGAAGTATTGTGTTTTGTTTCTATATTATCTCAGTAAGTACTAAGTACGTTCTTCCAGTATCGATATTCGATATATTAGATGGCGCAAGCTCAAATTATAATTATGAATAATTTTAAAAGAAAACTCTTTTACAATTACGTGTGAATATTATCTTTATATAGTATTTTTTATAATTAAGTACTTACTAAAATAATGTATTAAGATATGATTTTAACGGAATTATGTTATCGATGAATTTTCTTTAAAATTAGGGTGGGTCTTATAACTTATCTTATATTAGATAATAATAATTTATAAGGCATTTATTAGCATGAGGAACGCGTCTGCGTGAACAGATTATGTGTAATATATGTACATAGCCTATTAAAATAGCAAAAGGTAAAACGTTACGTTTTAACGTACGTTTATTATCGTTATCATTTTAGTAAACATAATATGTATATATGTATGTAGATGTAGAAGTGGGCATTTAATGTAAATATAATGTTTTTTTTTAATTAAAATATCTATAAGTATACCTACTGTAAAGTTATAAGTATCTAAGTATGATAAAGTATGTATAAGTTACTCGTACAGTAAGTATCTAATTAAAATTACTACGCGAATATTTAAAGCCATTAATCCAAAACATTAAAATTTACACGCAAATTGCATTTTGAGGATTTTAAAGTATTAAGATTTATAAATCATTCTGAGATTCCTTTGCTGGTAATAATCATTCACTTGCAATTTCATAATACCATTTGAACTAAAAATAAACATCTTACTGCGTACTTGACCGCTTTGCTGACGTGAATTTTAAACTCGGAAAACAAAACGCAAGATTTATTTTTTAAGTTGTGATTACGTACGTAATATAGGTGTAAGTATTTCGTATAGGTATACAAAAAAGTACTTATAACATAAACGAGGATAGGTCTCAAAAATTTTTGAGACCTATCCTCGTTTATATGTATTGTATAATGTATTCGGTCTGTTGTCTACACAAAAGGTACGGAATGTTATGGTATAGGTATCCACTATTGAAATGTATTCATTCGCAAAAAGTAACGCTTGTTGCGGATTACGAACTGCATTGTCTAGAGGCAAACCATTCAATGTATGGAAGGTAGTGTGGAGTATGGAGTACCTACCTTAGCGATAACATTTCAGTCTATATTCTAAAGTTATTTATGTAATCGAAGCTTTATTATACCATACCTATTTGGAATGATATGATACATTGATATCTAATATATAGATAAATAAAATTGAAGTGTCTGTCTGTTTGTTCCGGGCCGCTCTGAAACAGCTAGACTGATTTTGACGGGACTTTCACTAGAAGATAGCTCATGTTATAAGGATAAACATAGACTACTTTTATTTTAGAAAAAGAATTAGGATTCTGCTCAAAAAAATTAAAACATACCTAGGGACGAACCCGAGCGAAGCGACGGTGAGTCGGTAGTCTATTATATGTATATAACATACAACAAATTCAATAATGACATAATAATAAAATAGGCTAATACAAATTATGAACACGTTTTCATTAATCATTTATAATACATCTACAATCGCTGTAAAAGCGAAATCAGGAAATAGAAATACATAATATATATACACTCCGCGACAAAAGTATAACCCACCCCCATTATTCTGTAATATACAATTTAAGACTATATAAACCTTTACATATTACTATTGCATTATTATTTTTTTATTTTTTGTAGTATTATAGTATGTGTACAATTACATTCTAAGTTTTTTTTTATGTCACGGCGGGATTGTTAGTATGATAGTGCGACAAAAGTATAACCCATAAGTCACTTTGGCTTGAGGGGCTTCATTTTATTTATTTTTTTATTTTTAAATTATTATATTATTATTTTTTTCATGTGCTAGAAGTGTCAATTCCTGTCGATACATGTTCTGTGTCCTTCGTAAATTGTTATGTATTAAAAAAAAATCGATTGACATTTATTTACTTCTAATATAAAATGCCACGTGGGAAACGTTTAAGCGAAAGTGAAATTAATTTAGTTAGGAAATTGTATTCTGAAAATTGGTCTAAAGCCAGAATTGCAAAATTTATAAATAGAAGTCATCGTGTTGTGCGAAATTTTCTATAAGATCCTGAAAATTATGGTAAAAAAAAGAGGACTGGTCGACCAAGGGCAACAACACCACGTGAAAAAAGGTCAATTCTGAGAGTTGCATCTAATTCTGCCCTTACAGCAAGACAAGTTGCAGTGGAGGCTGGTGTTAGCACTAATTTAAGAAATGTTCAACGTATTATACATGGGTGCCGATATCTAAAACGTAAGAAATTACAAAGAAAACGACAGCCATCCGATAAACATAAATTAGATAGATTTAAATTTGCAAAAGATCATATTCAATGGAAGAAGAATTGGAAAAAAGTTATTTTCACTGATGAAAAGAAGTTTAATTTAGATGGACCTGATGGTTTTAATTACTATTTTCACGATTTAAGAAAAGAAAAATGTGTATTGAATCGACGACAAGCCGGGGGTAGTGTTATGATATGGTGTGGAATTGGATACTTAGGAAAAATGAATATCCAGTTTTGTACTGGAAAATTGAACAGTAAACGGTACATAGACATAATAAATGAACAGATTAATTCTCATGCAATGCGAATTGCTGGTCCTAATTTTATATTTCAGCACGATAATGCCAGTATTCACCGTGCACAAATAGTTCAAAACTATTTTACTGAAAAAAATATTCAAGTTCTTGAATGGCCAGCTTATTCTCCTGACTTGAATATAATTGAAAATTGTTGGGGAAATTTATCACGAGCTGTCTATCGAGGATCAAGACAATTTACCACTGTTGAAGAGTTAAAAACGGTAATAATTGACGAATGGCAAAACATGAATCAAGACACAATTAAAAAGTTATATGACAGTTTACCAGATCGAATGATTGAAGTAATAAGTAAAAGTGGTGGATCTACTAAATATTAAATTAAATAAATAATTGCTCTTCGTTGCATTTCCCTTGAATTTTATTTATATTTAATTTACCTGGGCTATACTTTTGTCGCACCGCAAAACTTATGTATCATCTGTATTTGGTTAATTTTGCACTTAATAAATAATACATTGATTGTAAAATATACTTACCAATACCTAATTTTGTCTATTAGTATTATATTAATAAAATTATAATTTTATATTAGATATTACAAAATTAGGGGGGTGGGTTATACTTTTGTCGCGGAGTGTGTATATATATATATATATATATATATATATATATATATATATATATATATGTATGAGTAGTAGATATATTTAACCGAAATACCCCAAACGTAGTTTCTATAGCGATCAACAATCCTTCCTTTGCGGGAGCAATTTGTAAAACACGTTGCGATATTTTATCTCGAGTATTTTAAATGCCTATTAAAAGCAATAAGCTATATAAATAAGTACTACCTTTTTTCTATGGCTTTGCACGTCAAGTTTAACTTCATTTCTTAACCGACTTCCAAAAAGAAGGAGGTTCTCAATTCCTCGGAATATTTTTTTGTTTTTTATGTATGTTCACC